GGGGGGGGGGGGGGGGGGGGGGGGGGGGGGGGGGGAGGAAAAAAAAAAAAAAAAAAAAAAAAAAACGCACAAAAAACCTCGGAGAAGCATTGTTTAAAAATTCATATTTTTCTTTTACTGTGAACAGTGAAATCCATTATTTCATCTGTGATCTTCCTTTGAGAGAAAAATAAGCCTTCAAGGGGCCTGTACATGAATACACTGGTCCAGGATGGGTTAGGCTGCAAAAAATACCACATGACAGAAAATAATATGCCAATGTATTTTAGATATTTTTCCCCCATAGGACCAGTAATTCAAGTTGTAAGAGAACACTATTTGTATAAATTTATGTGGGAAAGGCCAAGTGAATTTTACATTTTACCCATGAAGTCAGGGCAAGTGGCAGTAGGCTGTAATTTGTGTGTGTGTGTGTGTGTGTGTGCAGGGCAAAACAGGATGGCTGCTATGGAGCGGGGAATGTGCTTCATATGACAGGAGCATGTAAAATGCTGCCTGCCTGCCTGTGGATCTTTCAGTGCCGGGCGGCATTTTGCAGTTGGGAAAAGTAGAATGTATTATATGATCTTAAACAAAAGTTCTGTTGCGCTCCTGTCAGATCGCCAGCCCGTGTGGACTATCCTGAACATTTAAATATGAATGAGTGGGGGAAAGGGTAGATCTCTGGGATTCCCTCAAGCAAGAACAATTGACTGGCCCCTGCATCCCGTAGTCCCTGCCCCTCTTCCCGATCTTCCCCACCTGTTCCCTGACCTTGGGCACCCTGAGCCCACTTTACAGGCCAGTGGGCTTTGAGTCATCTAAGGCTGTGGCTAGGAGAGTGGAGGGGCAGTGGGGGCAGACTGTTCAATGAAGTCCTCTCTTCTGATTGAGACAGTGCATTTACTTGGGGTATTTTTTCCTCTCCAAAAGAGGAAGAAAGTGAAGCAAGGGGACTGGGCAAAGAAAAAAAACCACGAAGTTAAACAAAATTAGAATTTCTTTCAGAAGGGAAAGTAGAACTCCCGAGAATGGTGATATTTGAAGAGAGGTGTGTGTGAGGGAGCAGTGAGCAGAAGGAAAGCAGCCTGTCAGAAAACGGGCTTTCCCTCCCCTTCCTAATCACAGCCCTTACTCACAAACTCCCTCCCTCTCCCATTCACTCACTCACTTAGGGCCAATCGTTCTCCCTTTCCCTCTCTCCCTCTCCTTCTCTCTCTCCCTCCTTTCCTCCCTCCCTCTCTTCCCTTTCCCCCTTCTCTCCCTCTCTCTTCTGTCCCCCTCTCTCCGCTCTCCCTGTCTCTCCCTCCCATCCTCTCTGTCTCTGTCTCCCCCCGCCAGTCTCTCCCTCCATCCCTCCCTCTCTCTCTCCCTCCCCCCAAAAAAGAGAAAATAATAATAAAAAAAATAAAAAAGAATTTAAAACATAATTCCTATCCCTACTTTCTAAAGAGGTACAAGATACGAGTTATTGAAGCTTGACCTAGAAAAGAGGCTCTTCCAAGGAAGCAAATGTAACAGTAGCGAACGCTTTAAACTGCCCATTTGGGATTGTGTCCAGCCTTTAGCAATTCAACTTGAACAGGTTTCCACCATCTCTCTTCATCAGGGACCTCCGTCATCCAAGTGACAGCCACAGATGCTGATGACCCAACCTACGGCAACAGTGCCCGGGTAGTGTACAGCATCCTCCAGGGCCAGCCATACTTTTCTGTGGACTCCAAAACAGGTATTTGATGCAACAGTCCAGTCAGGGGTGTTTGCTTTATGCCCTAATAATTTATAACTGCTACTAGGACAGACCCAACTCTCCTTTTCAATGACTCTCCAGGGAGTGGATTAACCAGAGAAGATTATTGTAAGCTTTGGGATTAAGANCTACAGCACTGACTGCATTCAGAGAGGGAACCTGCAAAGAAAACTTCACAGAAAACTTTTTGTTCTCGTTCCAGAGAATTTGCTGAGGAGGAGAAGGGAAAGACCAAACCAAACCAAACCAAGAAAAAACCTGTGCGTGAGGGGGGAGGAGAAGCAGGGCCTTTAAAAAGGCAACCACAACAACTTTTGCTGCCAGGATGCCCTTGCTTTGGCTGCGAGGATTTTTGTTGGCGAGTTGCTGGATTATAGTGAGGAGTTCCCCCACCCCGGGATCCGAGGGGCACAGTGCGGACCCTGCCTGCCCGTCCTGTGCACTGACCACCCTTCCCAAGGATGTACCCAACGCTCAGCCGGAGATGGTGGAGGCCGTCAAAAAGCACATTTTAAACATGCTGCACTTAAAGAAGAGACCTGAGGTCACCCAGCCGGTGCCCAAGGCGGCGCTTCTGAATGCGATCAGAAAGCTCCATGTGGGCAAAGTGGGGGAGAACGGGTACGTGGAAATAGAGGATGACATCGGAAGGAGGGCAGAAATGAATGAACTGATGGAGCAGACATCGGAGATCATCACGTTCGCGGAATCAGGTGGGTGCTGGCACTGGGGTTGGGGGGGTGGGGGATGTATTTCCCTCATAGTCCTAGGAGCAACTTCTTTTCCCTCCAGCTGTAAATTGCCACGGAGGGTTATTAGTTATTTTGTGATGGTAGCAGGCAGGCAGAGAGGAGGTCTGGAGGGGAGAGCACTTCGCAGAAATGGAATCCAAGCCCTGGCTGGTGATGGCTAGCTTACACTTGCTTTACTCCTCTGGTCATCCGGAGAAAGCTCTAGAGCCAATCTGGAGCTTAAAGCTGGTCTGTGAGAGGGAAACCAGGTCTGAGCAGCCTTATGAAAGCTGGGGCATATTAGGATGCTGGGGGAATCCAGGAGGCTTCCAGACCCCATCCAAAGTTTTTGTTGGGGCAGAAGTGGGGTGGCGAGTGTAGGATTGGGGTGGTATGGCACAGATGAAATCATTGTCTTAAAACAAATCCCTTTAAAAGTCCCATCAGGGGCCACATCAGAGAAGCAGGACAAATCCATTAGTGACATTTCTTTTCAGCTTTAGAAAGTCTGTCTATATGAGCACAGGCATCTCATTTTAGGCAGTAGAGAACAACTTCAGGAGACAGTTGACAATGACCCAGCAGTCACTTTTAAAAGATTGACTTTTGCTTTCTGAGCTGAGAAAGAAAAAAAAGTTTTGTTCTCTGTAAAGTTACTAAGAGCTCTCTGCCAAGGAATGCAACCTTGACAAAGTGCTCTCAGATACTACACTGAACTCTCACTCAATCCTTAAGAGGAAGAACTTTAATAATACATTCTAATCTTTGGCTCAGGACCACACTACCTGTTGCTGAGTAGAAAATACCTGTCAAAAGTGGAGGTAGAGATCTGGAGCCCAGTTACTTTTAGTTATGTGACACAGATCCTTTTGCATGCCTATAAGCACATGCACGCCCTGGCACACAGATATGTTAATAGCATGTTACATTCATGGTAATGCCAGGCTAAGGAATCATCCCTTGGCAAATCTATTTGAAAGGAATGCTATTGTTTTGTTTGGTAGAGCATATGGCCAGTAAAGTATGTGCAGGGGCTACCAGCATTTCTGTTTTAAAGTTTGCTACAGCAGTATAAACATTAAAGGCAACACTCAGAATTTCCAATCCTGAAAACCTGTTGACTCAGATGTTCTGTTTTTAAGAAAACCTTCCAAGATCCGGGCATCCTTTTGGGGGAGCAGATACCCTGTTCGCTTCCTGGCTTCCCCCTGTTGGTGAAGCCCTGGTGTCCTGAAAGCTTCCTGGCAGGGCAGTTTAGCTCTCTCACCAGAGCAAAATTCTTTTAAAGAAGCTTACTTTCTTTCCCTAAAACTCTTTCTTGATAGAGCCCCAAAGGACATGATGATTAGGACTTTATTTTTTTAAGCTTTTTGAGGAAAAAAGTCAGATGGGGTTTTCAAGTTGCCACCCAATTTTTCTCAACCTTTCCTTGTGGCAAGGTAGGAAAGAAAATGTTTAATGACTTTGGGTCCATTGCAAGGAATGAATTCCAGCAGTCTAGAGGTCTGCTCCCTGTCCTGACACAAAAGGACACTGTATGTTTTTATATACCAGTTGCGAGACATGATGGCCTTAACTGCAGCTCCTCAATTGGCTTTACCACAGCATATGATTAAGTATACCTATGCCTTTTACCACTTTTAATATGCACCTGATGCTAGCAATGTGTCCTGCTTTCTGACTTATCTGACTTGTATAGCAAACTACTCTCTTGGAACTGGGAGATGTTTCAGTGAAAGAATTTGACCTTCTACATTTTATTTTATTGACTTCATCTCAGTGCCAATCTTTTTCAAAGTTATATGAAATCTTGTCATTTGTTAAAACTTTTCTTTCATAAATGTTTTTAAATTGATTTTAGAGAGAGGGGAACAGAGCTAGAGAGAAACATTGCTCTGTTGCCTCCCATATGCACCCCACAACCTGGGTGTGTGCGCTGACTGAGAATCAAACCGGTGACCTTTTGGTGCACAGGACAAAGCTCAAACAGCTGAGCCACAATGGCCAGGGCTTAAAACTTGTCTGTTAGGGTTTTAGTTTGAAAGAAATTGAGCTACTTTTTAAAAAGGTGATTCATTTGATTCACATGTTGACTGACATTTAAGGTTTGTAATGGAAAGCTACTCCTGGTTGAGTTTATAACTCACCTTTGGGTGAGCTGCTGTATTCTTAGACAAGGTTTATTGTACTTGCTTATTTTTCTCATCTGAGAAGTTTCACACACCAACTTCAAGTTGTATTAGTATGATTTCAAAGATTTAATGATTGCTACATGAACAATCTATTTTCCAAGTAGAGTACCATGTGAGTATTTTGCTGCTATTTTCCTGAGGAAGCCATTTATCATCTGAATGATTGTGGTAATATATGAAAATGTCTTATTGCCTTCAGAATAATTCAACTGTAATAAAATTCAAACTATGTCAAATGTCAAGATTTTTGGAGAATATCAAAAGGCATTCATTTTTCTTTCCCTTATAAACTGTTTTGTACAGCATAGACCCCAGTCAATAAGGGTCACTTGCATGCATGCCTCAGATGAATACCCATAGATGTACCTTTCAAATTCAAGATTCCTCATATTTAATTTTTGCTTCTAGTCTCCTTGATGGCTGAATAAAGCCAAAACATGGCCAAAGCAGTTGAAGAACTGCAAAAGTTTAAGTGCTTAGAACTCTTTTAACTGAATGTGTCCCATTGTGCCTGGTTGGAAAGTACCCCATTTTTGTAAAACTGATATGAGTTGTTATTGAGTAAGCGGCTAGGAATCACTCTCAAGCTCTCTGAAATTTATTCCCCCAACAAAAAATATTTTATTTTTATTTATGTCACTCAAGATTGCTCACCAGAGTTATTACATTCTTTGCATGGCTGGCACAGAATCCTCTCTGTAAGACATTAAAGGAAGGGAAGAAGGGATGGGCAGAGTCAAGCCAATATTCACTATGATTGTCATTGACGCCAAAGTCAGTGGCCTTCTTGACTGCTATATCTTATTTTATATTTTGATTTGTGACAATAGCTGGTCAGTCAATGTACAATGACAATATATTGCTGAATCTCCATATGCTGCCAAATTTATAGGCTGATTCTGGTAATTAAGTTGGCAATTGATAGCATTTGTTGAAGAAAGACAAATGAAACATTAAGAATTGGAAAATGCTTACATAGTCAGGTGTTGTTGAAAGCAACACTAATTCTCCCCTTTTGGAGAGTCTAATTGCAGAAGTTAGAAATGTACACTTGCCAAACAGGGTCTAAGAAGGCTTGCTTGGATGACTACTTCCACCACCCCAAGAAATCTATCTTAAGGTGGGGTTGACTTCCACCACTCTATTCCAGTCTTCTAAATTTTTCTTCGAAAAACCTTTGCTGAAGTGTTTTACACACTTTCTTCTCTGAATGATGGGAAATGATGGGCCACAAGAGGGCGCATTCCAAAGACTTTTGCTTCTTACCAGTTAATCTTTTAGGGAAACAAAATTTCACCTACTGGAAGGCCCAGTCTGTTCTGTAGCACCCTAATCTTAGTGATTATCAGTTACTGCCTTCTTCCTCTCATCCAGGAAAAGTTAGGATTTTATGGGAAGGAAAGAACACAACTACCTATAATACATTAAATGAGACAGAAGGAAAATAAATAGGAATTCCAGTGGTATATGTGAACTTTCCCAAGCTCTATGGAAAACAGAGGAATGATAAATTTCAGAAGCAAACAGAACAGTGCGTGGAGAAATGTGACCATGAATCATCAGCCATACTGATTTGCTCACACATCTCCCCATAATAGAGCTGCCTGGACTTTTACAAAAACATCTTCCATCTCCCCTGATTTTGTTGCCTCATTTGCCTGTCTTATCAATGCTTTTCACAAGTTACAAATGACAAGTGAATGCGAACAAGGATAAAAAAAGGCTATTTATTTAACACCTTGTGGGAACATAGTGTACAGATTCAGAGGATGTGTGTTTTTAAACTGAGAGTGTGGAGAGAAATGGTGGAGAAAAGATGTGACAGAAAAGAATAGTGGTTGGGGCCTGTGAAATAGGTGTATTGGAGTAGGGGTGGGGATGTCAGGGTAGAAACTCAGTTTTAACATTTGGAGAATTAGAGTAATGCCTTCTCAGGCACTTTTCACAAAAACACATATTTATCTTGGCCCTTTTTGCTAAAATATACTTGAACATGCTCTCTGAGTTGTAGTCCAGAATTCTTTATATTTGACTGGTTCCTAGATCTCAAATCAAAAGTGTAAAAATTCTCAGGAACTTTGGAAGGAGTTTCTGAAAGGCTGTGAGTTGAACCTTAAGAATTTTTTCTCCTTCTTTTAGAAACCTAAAACCCCTTTCTCTCTAAATATTTAACCATTTCCTGCCCCCCCCATTTAAATTAAAGTGCAGAAATGTGGCTGATCATTTACAATTCAAAAGCAGGTCCTAAGCAAAGATATTAAGGCTAAAAAAATCAATCAAGATAATTTATGACCAAACTTGCTGTTCTGCTACAGGCAAGACCCTCTACTGTAGGTGAAAGGAGGCATAACCTTTATGTCCTCACTCGTGTCCTCAATTGCTGTCTTATGCAGAAACCCCTGGAAGCAATCCAAATGCAAAGTTTATGCTTCAGAAAACACACATGCTGTAACTGGTATCTCTGTATGCTCCCACCAGTGACTATACCATACCTAGGCACAGTGAAACCTTGTGAAGAATGGGAAATTAAAGTTAGAGCCATATTTTTATGGTGAGGCTCTTTCACCTAAGGTGAGTTTAAATTCTCTATGAACAACAAGGCTTTCCACATTAACATTAGCGATATTATCCATATATAGAAGGCATTATACTTTATGCAGGACCCTGGTGAGGAAAACAAAACAAAAAATGAAACACTGAGTGTATTGCTTATTTCATTGGAAATGTTTATATGCTCATCCACGCCACAAATTTGAGGGGGATGAGCAGCATCCTGGTGTGGGGGAAGGG